GGTTAACTGTATGAGAACCACTTCTCATTTACAAACATGACCTGGCATGCACTGAGTGCATTGTGATATACAAACCTACATATTCTGCCGTGGTAAACTGATTGTAAATTTTAATCGCGATTAAAATTTTTTAATCTATGCCCATGAAGCACTAAAATTAATCAGTTAACTTGATTAATTTCACAGCCCTAATTTAAATAATAACTAAACAAAAATATTTATAATATATATATGAGATGAGATGAGGCTGAATTAAGTCTGTCTCAAGTTAATCTGACAGCTGCAGGGTAGAAACTATTTCTGAGCCTGGTGGTTTGGCTCTGTGTGCAGGWTGCATGGAGAATTAAGTAGGTTTTGTGTTACAGCACTCTCACACATTTTAATGGGTAAGACAGGACTCCCTATTTCTTTGTTACACATTTGAATGACAGGATCACCATCGTTGTTGGCGAGCAAYAAAAGCTGCTGAACACACTAAGTGCCATTGTGTTAAAACACAAAGCATAGTTTCTTTAGATGTAACGCAGGGTGTAATCATACTGTATTTGTTTTACAAATACCTGAAAGTCTTTCAGCTGGACGATATGAGGGTGACACGCAGTTTTCAGGATTTCGATCTCGGTGAGCAGGTTTTCTGTGGAGGCCTTGTTTAGAGTCTTCTTCGCAACAACTTTCACTGCTACCACTTCACGACTGTTCCCCTGCAACACCACGATGCTCTACGTCATGTCCACACGTCTGTCAAGTCCAGCCTTTATCATTCACTCATGAACTCACCTTCCTGTAGGCTTTATAAACTGTAGCATATGTGCCACTGCCCAGCCTCTCTGTGAGGATCAGGTCCGCCAACTTTGGAGGAGCGAAACTAGAAGTTGAAGCCATGCTGACACAGCAACATCAGGCTCCTCCTGGGTGAAGTGCAATTAGCTGCTGCTGCTGCTAATCAATAATGTCCACATCTTCAGACGTTTTCTACAAGAGAGGCTGGAATGAACACGAATTATCAARTTAATCAGAATCTTAACGCTCTGCTTTAAATGTATTTATTAGTTATACCCTCTGTATTTATTAAATATTTACAGAATTTAAAGATGGATGCTCACACTGCAGGTCCACTCACCCTTAATACCAGCTGTTTTATATTTCTAAACCATACCGAATAGCAGACAGGCTGTTGAATTATCTAAAAAAAACATGTTTAAAGTCTCGACAACAGTAATAGTTTAATAAAGGTTGCATACTTTCATTTAAGTTTTTTCTAGCTAGCTAACCCATCACCTGCTTCGTGCAGGAAATACACTGGACCAGCCGTCTGCACGTAGGTCCGCAATTACCCACTATACAACCAAAGCACGCCTGCCTTTCTATGTTCATTAAAAAAACTGYATGATAAACATTTAGACACCTTTTCAAACTGTTAACACCAACCTGTAGCCAAGCTAATCCACCGCACATGAATGAACTGTTTACAGTACTGCTGCGCTGACAGAGGTAGCTGCTTGGTTCGCCCCATTTAAACACCGGCACATAAAAAGGCGACGTGAGCAGGCGGAGTTTGCACACGATTCAAAACCGGTGCATGAGCCCCAGCGGTCAGAGCACGGGGGAGTTTTTAGTATTTTTTATTGCTCTAACGCATGTTCATGTGGTCAACTTACGAAACCACTAACTCAGATCTGTATTATGCTGTCTCCATTAAGCACCAAGCTTTCTTTCTCTCTACATGCCATTACTTCTAGCCAGGATAGACACCGGAGACTTTATAAGAAGCTGACTTCAGCTGCWGTTCAGCGAACAGCTGACGTAAACTAGTGTTTCTAAATTTGTTACTGCAGACTAGTGGTGTATTTGTGTAACTGCAGATCGTCTCTCAATTGTAACAAAGAAGCGTTTACAATACAAAAATAGGTCTAACATATATTTATTAGGGCTGTGAAATGATTCGAGTTAACTCTGATTAATTTTAGTGCTGCATGGGCATAGATTAAAATTTTAATCGCGATTAAAATTTACAATCACTTTACTGGCTGAGTAGGTTTTTATTTTGCAATGCACTCAGTGCATGCCTATGGAAGCAATTGTGTTCCATAATCCTAATTAAAATGGATTAATAGAAATGCTGTTTCATTTTCAACATGTACCTGATTTTTTTGACTCATAAGTAAAATTATAAATACATAATCCAAACTGTATGTTCATTTTCTTCTCCAAGACTGCTCAAAG